TTAAATGTTAAGCGAACTACCTGTATTCCTCTCTTCCCTATTGCCCTATTTGTTTGTTTGCTGGTTGGGATTCCAACATTTTGTTTCTTTTCAATGAGCACAGAGAACGTGCATATTAGAGACCTGAAGGTCATCTGGCCATCTGGTCAAGTATCTGAGACCAGGGCCGCCGTGGTAGCATCTCAAGACTATTGGAAGGAGGTCTGCAGGCGGGGTGAACGGTTCAAGTCCTCAGCTGCCGAAGGCGTGCACGTAGAGGCACCTGCGAGAAACGCTCGCTTGATGTGCTTCTTACCAACGAGCCACTCCAAAGCCCTCAGAGAGCAGCCTTCCTGACACACAGGGGCTGCCGTGAGCTAGTATCGACTTGACACCAGGTGGTTCTGCTTCTGACGACCAGAGAAGAGCCCCCTCTGAACCGGCTCTGAGGGGCGGTCTTGTGAAGTACATGGGTGTTTGCATAAAGGCAACTGGGACCACTCATTTGGGACGGTGGGGGGAGGGTCTGGGTTAAGCAGCCATCACCTTCCCGAGTCTCCTCCCTCGCAGTCCTCCCCTACAGGAGTCACAGTTCCTGCCCACCACCCCCGCTCTCTTCTCTGGGATGACTCCAGCCTGCACTGTTCCCCTTAACCTCGATCCTCCGGGATCCTGCGTGCTGGCCCTTCGGCCTTGCCTGGAATGCAGACTTGCTGGGCTAACTCTGGCAGCCCTGGGCCCTGCTCCTGGGCTCAGTCCCACGGGTGACTCCACCTTCCAAGCCACCTTGTGCCCACCCCTGGCTCTGATCAAACAGACCACCTGTGTTGCCTCCACACACCCTCAGAGTGGACAGAGTGGGACAATGAGCTTTGGGTTTTGGGTAGCCATGAAAGCAGGACCCTCGTGACTCAGCACCTCCTTTGGGGAAGCAGGTGCCTTGGCGGCACCATGGTTCAAGCACTCGGCTGCCAAGCAGGGATGGCAGTTCACGCCCATCAATCTCCTTGTGGGAGAAAGATCTAGCAGCCTGCTTCCTTCGAGCCTGTGGGGGCAGGTCAGAATCGACTAGATGGCAGGGCTTTGGCTTTGGGCGGCTGTGGCGTTGGGAGCCACGGCACAGCAAAGCACTCGGTTGAGAACCGCCTCGCCTGATTATGGTTTGAAGCTGCCCGCGGGGAGAAAGATGCTTCTGTGAAGATTTACCGAGCGGGCAGTTCTGCCCTGCCCTCAATGGTTCCCGGGAGGTGGGGAGGGGGGAGAACCCCCTAAGGCTGTGTTTCTCAAAGTGCTGGACCAGTCCATGGCCCGCAAAAGCAGATTCGGGCTTTAGTACAAACACTTTTAATGGTGGGGGTGGGGGGGGCCCTGAGTAGATATTTTTTCTGAAAAGGAGGCAGTAGGTCAAACAAGTTTGGAGACCTATGACCTTTGGGATCAGACACTCCCCCAGAAATGCCTTGACTCAGTTTACCTGTCAAATCCCTTAAGTTTCACTCCTAACAGCACTGACTCGGGCTAAATTGAATATAAAAATGTTTAGAAGCCCCCCCACACAAAAAAACCTTTGAAGTGAAAAGCAAAAGAGGGTTGGGAGGGGGACAAAGAAATGAGAAGAGCCACCCGCAGTCCTTACGTCCTAGGGATGTTGTGTGGGGGCCGGACGGGGGTGTCTCTGCCCAGACCAGTCCTACCGTCCCGACGGCCCCTCCTCTCCTCCCTCCTGCCCTCACTGCTTCTGTCCTGGAGGGAGAGCTCCCGCCTGCCTGGGGGACACGGAGCGCATCACCTCCCAGTTATCCCTCCAGTTCTGTTACCTCAGTTCCTCCTCTCTGGCTGCGCACGGTCCATCGGCGCTCTGTTGCCGGCCGGACTGCATCTCAGCGGCTGCAGCCGTTGATGGCAACTGCCCTCCCGTGTCCACGTAATGCTCAGCCACACGAGCCGTTCCCCAACGGGGTCCACACTCCGCGTCCCTCAGCACACCATGACCACTCCCGGGGTCCCTCAGCTCGCCGTCACCTATCAGAGCTCCTGTGTCTAGTTTTACCACCTCCCGCTTCTCCTCCCCGCCCCTGCCCCCGCACAAGAACCCACACCTTCCACCCACCCACAAGCACCACCCCCCACCCGGTCCGCAAACGTGATAATTACCAGTGCATACCCCTGAAACACCATGCCAGGCCTCAGAAAGAATAAAAAGTCTCTTTTAATTGGCCAGTAAAATACATTGCAAATCATTAGTAGTTTATAAACAGAAACATTAAGTTACAAATCCATGTTAAAAATTGCAGTTCAGTGGCAGCTCAATAGCTGTGTGTCCCCAGATGTGACCTTCAGCAACAACCTCCTCCACTTGGTTTGTGTGTGTGTGTGTAACAAATAATGTTACTATTTGCCATCTAGATTAAGAGTCATAACTACAGTATTTCCAAACAAGAACAGAAAGGAAGTGTTACAGGGATCTATCTCACTATTGAGCTACACAGCGCTCGCAAAAGCTGCAGGCTGCACACCGGGTGAGGAGGCCGGCTTTCCACACGAGTGTCTTCAATGGATTGCTGGAGAGCAAGGGAAGGGTCTTGAGGCTTGCCGACCCTCCCCCAGCCCTGGCACCCACTCCCATCTGCTGCCCCGTTGGGCTTCCCGATCCTCGAGCCTCTGGGGTGGTGGGGGGCTTCCTGGAGACAGAGACAAAGTCTGGGCCACAGGGTCCCAAGGGGAAAGGCTGGGCTGTCACCAGCTCCAACGCTCCAAGCTGACAGCCGGCCGCCCTTCTTCACATTCTCTGGAAGCCGGTGACCTCCTGCTCATGAGACACAAGACCCTTTCCTTTTTAGTCGCCCATTGTGTCATTCCACCGCCCCCCCTTTAATGAGTCTAGGTTTTATATCAAAGAGCTAATTAAAAATGGTCTCTTAAAAACATTAAGAAAAACAGCTTGAAAAATGCACGTTTCCATTTTTAAAAAAAATCCCCCTCACCCAGGTGGTGGCCAACACACTGATTCTAGTTTGAAGTCCCTTCCAGCATCAAGGCAGTTCCATGTCGCCACCCCGCCTGTTAGCTCCAGATGGGCCCACTCCAGCTACAGACTCCAGTCTGCGGGCGGTGGGCTGCGCTTGAGTGGCCGGCGTGCCGTGGGTTCGAATCCCCATGGAGGCAGAGCTGCAGCCACGGACGCAGAGAGAGGTGCAACTCTTCCCTTTCCCAAGTCTTGTTCAGTTCGACGTCATCCTCAGTCCTGCCACATTGTCAAAACCCAGCAGCTCTCTGTAGAAGGAAGTCCACACCCCACAGAGATGAAGCACCTCTTGATGTGGGAGGAGTCATGCAGGTATGTGCCTCCCAGCCACCGAGCAGATCCTGCAGGTGGGAACAAAGCCAACACCACACACACAGCCGAGACTGGGGAGGCTTGTCTTCTCCAGCCGGCCTGCCCTCCAGCAGCCCAGGACAGCAGGCTCAGAAGACAAGAATAGTGCCTTCGACCTCACGCAACGTGGCAGAGAGAGGGGCATGCGCCGAAGGGGCTACACAGGTGCAGGGCAGCAGCGGAACTGCAGACACAACACAAAGCAGACGCTGTGCAGAAGGAGGCTGGCTTGTTCGTCAGCTCAGTATAGGCAGCGGGCCGGCCGGGTTTCTCTAGGGAGAATGGACTGCGCCGGGCTGTTGTCACAGGCAAGTCCATGCCTCTCGATCATTGAACTGATCCACTAGCTTCCCAAGAAACCACAGCAAAACAACAACAACAACAAAAACAGAACCAACAACACACAGCCCAGAAAGGCAGAGTTCGGATCACCTGTCAGTGGCAGATGAGTAAAGTGCACAGCAATATTTATGGTAACAGTTCTCGGAGGAAGGGGAAGGAACGGACAACACGCGTGTCAAGAGTTTCAGAGCTGGACACTTGTTATCTACAGACACCGAGGAAGCGAGGATGCCCTTTGCTTGCAGCGTCTTCCTTTCCAGAGAGTCTGGCTTTCCGGGCAGAACTTGGTGGTGGTGGCCAGCCTGGGGCAGCCTGCAGCTTTAAATGGAATGAGTGGAGATCTCAGACTGCTGTCTGATGTAGCTCTGGAAGCTCTTGTCTCCAATGGGGTGTTCCCTGCAGTGAGGAGACAGTGGGAGAGCGTGAGGCACGATTCCCACGCGTCTTCCAAGACAACAGACACGCGCACATTACGAGGGGGTTTCCAGAAACACTTGGGACCCTCCCACTGCCTTTTCATTGCATCTCTTCCATCCATGTTCAGGAGCCCGTCTAGCACCGGGACTAACCCAACAGAAGCAAACTGACTGCCATGGCGTCGATGCTGGCTCACAGTGACCCTCCAGGACTGGGCAGAACTTCCCCTGTGGAGTTCTGACACGGTCACATTTCCTGGGAGTAGAAAGCCCCGACTTTCTCCCTTGGAGCGCCTGGTGGTTTCAAACTGCGGCCCAACGGGAAACCACTAAGCCGCCAGGCTCCTCTCGTATTATTGCTAAGTAGTCTTTGATTCTATTTCAGAATGTGAAAGATTCTCATTGTGATAAACATGCACATACAGATAAAACAGAGAACATAAAAGCTACCTCAAAGCCCAGACTTTGGTAGCCGCTGCAAACGGATGCATTGTGTGTGTGTGTGTGTGTGTGCTCCATGGGGGTGGGTTCTGAACTATTCTCTGTGTGGGCCCGTGCCTAGTTCATGGAACAGTTCCTGGCATGGAGTGGGACTCCGCACACATTTGGTGAATGGGTGTGTGTGCCCTGATCTCTGTTTACTCTAAGGAACAGGATCATGCTTTGTAGGCTGTGCTCAGCCTGCTGGCTCTCTGACGATGCGGTGATGGTGCTGTGCCCTGTGGTGTTCATGCTGACTCAGGGTCACCCCCACCCGTGCCTGCTGCTCACCCTAACACTCTGAGCCAACCGAGAAGGAGCACTCACACGGGCTAGTCTAAGCCTTTGGTAGAACTCAACTCAATGGTCTCCCACCAATTTTCCAGCCAGGTCTTATTGGGCTCCGGGAAAAAGAGAGGATGGTTCAGTGAGGTTAACTAGCACATCCATGGTTCCCTCGTGTGATGTCCTCTTACAACATTAGATTCCTTTTTCCAAGACCGGTTTGAAGCCCTCTCTGCTGGGTCCACGTGGGCTGGGCGATGGCGTCAGTCACTTGGTTGAAGTCTGGTCCAAAGGGTGCCGTGAAGGCACGCCGCAGCTGTGGTTAGTAGCTACACCCAGCTGGCTTTAGGCAAAGGCGATTAGCCTGGGGAAGGTAGGGAGCCTCATCCAATGGGTGGATGGTCTTAAAAGCCAAGGCAGGTTTCCTAGATGGAAAGGAATTTCGCCACAAAACTGAAGTATGAACGCCTGCCAAGATTCCGGCCTGCTGGCATGCCCTACACATTTCAGATTAGCCAGCCTGCACAATGTCAAGAGCCAATGACTTAAAATGAAACTCCGGTGCCCGTGTAGGTCTGTGTGAGGGCCGCGGTGGCCCAGTGAAGAAGTCCCATGTCCCAGGCAGGTCTGATTCCTGGCCCGCATGCACCCCCACCCCCACCATCTGTCAGGGAGGCTAACTAACAGGTTTTGGCCGAGTTTCCAGACTTGAAAAGCCTGAAGATCTACTTCCAAACCCTGATGAGTGGAAACTGTGGGTCAACACCATCGGATCCCATGGTGCGTGGGGCTGCATGAGTCAGGGGGCCAATCTGACAACGGGGAACAAGTGTATATTCTGGGTTTCCATTGGCTGATGGGTTCAAACACCCCAGAGCGTGTGACAAGGTGGCAGCAAATGCTCTGCTCTGTGATACAGAAGGCGGTCACGAGCCAGTCCCAACTCTCAGGCACATAAGCAGCACCCCCACCAAATGCCTATGGGCACGTTCTCTTGGCGCCCTGGGGACGTGCTTGACTGCCACCTGAGAGTTGGCAGTTCACACCTACCATGTGGCCATGCCCTTCCATCAAGATGGACATTGGTATTATTGATAGGTGTCACGGAGTCAGTGCCGACTCGTTAGCGACCCTCTGGACAGCAGGACAAAACACTGCCCCGTCCTGTGCTGTCTTCCCAGTCAGTGCTGTGTGAGCCCACTTCCGAGGCCCTGTCTCAGTCTTCCTTGCGGACGCCTGGAAGCCCTAGGGAGCAGTCCTGCTCTGCCTCGTAGGGTTGCTGTGGGTCAGAAATGACTTCCACCGGTTGTGTTTTTATTGGCGGTTGTGTGTGTGTATTCGTTTATTTTTGTCCATACAGTAAAACCTGTGGAAGCTGAGAACCTGCAGAAGGCCCCACTTGCCAGAGAAGAACAACTGAAACACGTCCTGCAAAGACGAGCCACAGGAAAGTAGTAAGCTGGCACCTTGGCAGGACACTTGTGAGCCCAGGAAAGGTGAGGCAGCCCAGAGGCTTCCGGCTCTCACAGGTGGGCGAGAATATTGGCGGTGCTTGACTGATGGTGCCAGGAATAAGCCAGGGCAGGCCCCAGAATCCCCGTGCCGTGCACACGGTGTCCACCTCCGCTCAAGAAGACACCGCCCAAGGGCCCAGCCGGAGTCTTCCACCACCGCAGCGTGCCCTTGGTAGCACGGGCAGGCGGCCATGGGCCTGCGGTTGGCAATGGGTCAGGAAGTTTGCCGAGGCAGAGAACAGGTCTGGGAACACTGGGAAACAAGGAACGCCTAAAGGGCTGGGAAAGTGAAGGCTCAGGGCATCAGACAGGCCCACGGGAGCCAAGCGTGGGGCACGGAGGGGTCTCCCCGACCTCCCCAGGTTTCCTCAGGACACTGGCCCGAGGCCTTGGGGTGGAAAAGTGAGCCACCACTCCTGAAGGTTCCTGACTCCTGGGGTGCCCGCCTCCCAGTCCTCTGACCCCCATGGAAATGCGGCCCTGAGGGTGGCAGCCAGGTTGTACCTGGAAGCTGCACGCACTGCCCTCCTGCTCCACCTTAGGTGTGTGCGCACACACAC